ATTTCAGTTCAGGAACGAGAGCTGTTTGATCAGATCAGCTCCTTTGAACGGAGCTGTTGAAAAAGTTCAGTTCAGGAACGAGAACTGTTTCATCAGATAAGCTCTTTTGAAAGGAGCTGTTGAAAAATTTCAGTTCAGGAACGAGAGCTGTTTGATCAGATCAGCTCCTTTGAACGGAGCTGTTGAAAAAGTTCAGTTCAGGAACGAGAACTGTTTCATCAGATAAGCTCTTTTGAAAGGAGCTGTTCAAACTAATCAGCTCCTACCGAAATGAACGGTCGAACAGCTTTTTCGCTCAGCTCAGCTGAACTTTTGAGCTTGAGCTGATGCACCCCTACTGGTAATATGGATTTGAAGAATACTTTGAAGTTAAATTGTTTTCCTTTGTCTCGATGGTTAAGTAATGAGTATATTTTGAAAAATGTTTGGATTAGTTTATTGAAACTGGCCGAATCTATCAGAGTCATAGAGAGCGGCTCTCGCGAGGACGACATCGAACGATTTGAATTACTAATCGATTTTCTTCATTATATTTCGAGTGCACACATATTAAGCCATTTTACCTTCAATTGTTGAAAACTATACTGAAAAATTCAAAACTATCATTAAATTCCGTTACTTTTCCTCAATTTACTACTTGTAAAAAAATCGAAGAGATTTCTGTTCGACGAGAACGGATATGGTTTCCAAGACGTATGAAAGACGAAAAACGAAACACGATTCTATTGAAGATCAAAGAATGTTTCGAAAAGAATCTAACTTATCAAAACAGTAGCGACCTCCAAATTAATCAGATCGACCCCAACGGAAATTAACCAATTATTAAATTCTTGGCGAGAGAGCGAAAAACTTTGATCGTTTCTCATCAGTGTTCAAAAGATTTTCTCTCTCAATATTCCAGTTCCATTCAGCAGCAGAATTTTTATCGAATACAATTTATTTCGGTCGGTTCATGGATTGATCAAGAATTACTCCGATGTGCTCATAATAGATTCTTCTGTCCCTCTTCACTGAATATCCTTCAATGTAAACGATTGACTCGAACGCCCTCGAAACTGACAGAGTTTCCCCATGGTATTTTTCCTTTTACAAACAAAGGAACCAATCCTCTCAACAGTATTGCCGATTTTTTTCAAAATCAAATAGAAAAAAGTTGGAAAGATCTTCATGAGACTGAATCATACCGAAATGAGGGTAATTCTACAAAAAGAATTTGGAAGGATCTATTCAATTGTATTCGATTACAAAACGAGTATCTATTTGATGCATGTGTGATTTTACGCATTATACCGACTACGCTCATATCTGTTTTTCTTGAAATCTGGTTGAATAATAAGCAACGACGGAATGATTCACAATCTACTGTATCATTTCATTTGACTTCTGATCAGTAGGCACTTCTAGGTGGAATAATTGTTAATTGGATTTTCGAACAACATCTTGAAAGAATGTTACAGTTAGTTTCACAAAAAAATTGGGAAAATTTCAATAAAGAACTCATGAATATTCCTCATTCTAACTGGGTCCCATGTGAACATTTACCATGGTTAATTCTCGAATTAGAGATGAATATCACAATTCGAAAGGTTCAAGTGGATGTTGCTCGTCATATGATAGAGCCAACGATAACATCTGATAAAACTAACGTACGCAACATTGTTAGGCAGATGAATATGGGAGAAGGAAAAACAGCTGTCATTATTCCAATGTTAGCATTGAGTTTATGTTCTCAGAGTTTAGTTCGTCTTGTTGTACTTAAATCATTGTTTATGGTGAATTATCAGGCATTACATTTTAAGTTAGGTGGTTTACTTAATCGACGTGTCTTTCCATTCGCATGCCGCCGTGATATGAATTTCAACGAGTTACAAATCACACAGAGTTTTGATCGTCTGCAACAAGGATTTCAAAATTGTGGTGTTGTTATAACATCACCAGAAGATGTTCTCGATGAATCCGATGAAATTTTACATGTCAAATATCAATTGACTTATACAATTGGTGGTCAACAAAAAGTTGATGGAGGAGTTGAACGTTGGAAAACGATTCAAATGGTATTAAATATAGTGAAACAGAACGCACATGATATTGCAGAATGCTACAAGAATGACGTTTATTATAAACCATCTCAATGTAAAAGTGCGTTTTCAGATTTTCGTCTATTATCCCATCAACCTTATGGAAAATTGTGTAAAATTATTGCTGAAAATTGTATTAATCAGAAAAACTATCGTCCAAGTGATCTTATCTTTTATCTTAGAAATCAATTCCTCAGTTGAATGTTTCAACGATCGTTTCTCACCCAGTATTATTGATTTCTTTCTCATTCTTCGTGGTTTATTATCCTATGAAGTTCTATTCGTTGCCTTAAAAAAACGTTATCGAGTACAATTCGGAGTAAATCCAAGTCCGGTATTCAATCGTCTCATGGTTATACCATTCCGAGCAAAGGATGTAGCTGCAGATAAGACAGAATTCGGTCATCCAGATGTTGCTCTTGTCTTAGCACAACTTTCATACTATTACAGTGGTTTAAAAGATGAACATTTATTTCAGTGTTTTGATCGTTTGATGAATGAAGAAAAAAAAATCCCGAATTGATCTATGAAGAATGGATTTTGCAAGAAGATCAACAACATATTCATTCAAGTATTCAACAGTGGGAAGGAGTGAATTTAAAAGATAATTGGCAACGAACTCATCATCTCTTTCCTACTCTAAGGTTCAATATGTCCGTTATCAATTATTTTCTTAATCATTTTGTTTTTCCTCGAGAAGCAAAACAATTTCCTCATAAAATGATTTCCTCCGCATGGGATCTATCATCATCGATATGAACGCATAGAATCACTGGATTCAGTGGAACCAATGATACTCAACTATTATTACCTATTCATATTTGTCAACATGATTTATCTGAGCTTCAGACTACAAATGCTATTGTTATTCACTATTTATTACAAAGCGAAAATAAACATTATGAAGCTTTACTTAACAATGCTGATGCAAACCAGATCTTAAATGAAATTGTTCACTACAAATTGACGATCAATGTTATTCTTGATGTAGGTGCTCTCTTGAGCGATGGAACTAATCGTGATATAGCTATGAAATGGTTAAATCTATCAGATATAGATAAGATTGACTATGCTGTTTATTTAGAATCCGATTTAATCGTTGTCTGTGATCGTTAATATCGGCATCATGCTTTTTTAACATCGCCTGCATTCGAAAGACTTGATCGTTGTGTCATTTATTTAGATGAAATTCATACACGAGGAACAGATTTTAAATTTCCGACCGGATTCATAGCTGCAGTGACATTGAGCAATGGTTTAACAAAAGATCGATTAGTACAAGCATGTATGAGAATGCGCAAATTGGGCAAAAGTCATTCATTAGTATTTTGGAGTTCCTATGAAGTTCATCAACAAATTTCTACTTTGAAAGATAAGACAACACCAAGAATTAGTCAGGTCGATATTCTGCGATGGGTGTACGAAAATAAGCAACGAACGATTTGGGATGGTTTACATTATTGGGCAACACAAAGTTTAAGTTATCAACGGAGATCAGTAGCTTTTCAACACATCCACTGGGTCGATAATAAGCAAGAATTTACCGATACTCTGATGCAAAAATTGGCTAGAGATAGTTTAGAAGCTGAAATAATTGAATTGAAACAAATGTATGGTGCATCTAAAATGCCACAACTTCCTCAAGCTGTTATCGAACGTTTACATGCTCTTGGCGGAACGAAAACACGTTTAGCACATTTGTTGAATGAAGAACAAGAAAGAGAATTAGAAGAAGAAGAAGAACGTCAATTGATTCGACCTCCCTCTTTTTCTCCCTGTGAACCTGTACTTCATCCTGAAATAGAACAATTGTGTCATGTAAATGAGAACATGATGGATTTAACCAGATACCCTAATGTATTTCGTTCATTGACATATGCATTCACTGGCACAACTTTTCTTCAAGATTGTCAAGTCAATAGCTGGCAAGAAAATGTCTGGGTATCCACAGAATTTCAACGTGTGATTGAAACCAAAGCAGAACCATTGAATCCTTTTCTATGTCCCCTACGGTGGTTGATCGTTTATCGAAATCGGCATGTCGTTTTTATTAGTCTGTGTGAAGCAAATTGGTTGCTCGCTCGATTGTATTCGAATGCTCGAAGAAAAGAAGTCAGAAATTCAGCTAATAGTACTACATTACGCTTATTACTTCCTCGTACGAAACGAATTCAATCAATTTTTATCAATACACCAACATTGACGATTCCTGCGCTGATTGCATCCATCGATGATGATGCGCCTTTCTTTCAAATACTCATCGAATGGTTGGTTCAATTTTTTATTTTCAATGGTACTCTCTATTTTGAGACTGTCAATGAGCAAACAGCCTATTGTCAATGTTTAGCGTTGTGTCCTCGACCCTATACAGACAGAGAAAATACTGCTTTCAAACGCAGTTGGATTGCCGAGGATGGATTTGTAAGTCAACTCGAGCATCGTCATTGGTTGAATATTATCGGAGCTCGATTTCAATTGATTGAAAATCGAAATAAGTCATATGCATCTTTTACAACGCATGTCGAAAGTATTATTTTTAATGCACAAAAGCTCCTTGCATCATGATTATTATAGCTTTAAATATGATTTTTCTATAAATTTCAAAATTGAATCGATTCGTCTTTGTATCGCACAGTGTAGTGAAATATTATTTTAATTTCTTAGTACAAACAATGACACAATCATACAAATACATTTTATCAACGCTGAGAAAATATCTGGTTTTTTAGATAACAGATTGAATTTTACATTAGTTTCATTTGCATAAAAACCAGAACAAAACTGATACCACGATGATGCGATCAGATGTGGGTCTAGGTGTATTGTCTGAGTTTTCGATATTGAATAAAACCCACCCCTAATATATAGATCCGGAAGGAAAAGTTACTTCTAACTGACAGTCCTCGCTAAATTCAAAATCATACAGCGTACCAGAAATCACTGCACGTAAGCTGCATTTTGTAATTCCGCTCGCTTTTTGGTAGTGTTTCACAAATAAAAACTGTTGAATATTTCTGGTAGCCTGGATTTATTTCGATCATGAGAGAGCTATGAAAGTTACATATTTGACCCCTATTTTTCATCGTTTTTAGAGGTTTGTCTATTTGAGGAAGGAGTCAAAAAGATCTGGCTGAAGACCTAAAATCAGCGTATAGGTAACAGCCAGTTCTTATTTTAACATTACGTTTCTGAGAATTCTGATAACGATATTTTTCATAAGTATGATCGACTTGATATTCCTATGCGAATTTGGATGATTAATAAAAAAAAATTGTTTTTTTAAATCCTGAGGGCGAGTACAGGAAACAGGAAGTCAGAAGTGACTTCAAAGAAAAAATGATTTACTCAAGTACATATTCTATATAAATCTTTTTTACACACATGGAACTACTTCTTGGAAATACTTTGGGCCAAAAAGTGACCTTAACATCACGTGTCCTTTGGAAAAAACTGATATTATCTTAAAAATTTTGGATCTTTGTATCATTGATTGCATGAATATGGATCTTATAAACCGAATGATAATTTTTGAAAAACTTTAGATGTATAGAACTCGACGAGAGGAACATTTTAATCAGTAGAATGACTCGAAAATAATCTTTATTTCTCGGAAAATTAAGTTTTACTGGTCCCAGCTAAATTAGCTGCGTTTGCCAAATCACCCCATGTGGGGTAATTTGGCATAACCTTTTTTTCAGAAGTATTTTTGTAAATGATTGGGTTTGGATTCAGTAAAAGGTTAGAAATTAAGATTAGTATAGACTTGTAGAGAAAATAGTGGGCTATCCAGTGATATATTTTTTATCAAAAGTTGATTTGAAATAGCTGAAAAAATTAAGTTTTATTGTTAATGCATAAAATACGTGGGATTGCCAAATCACCCCATGCGGGGTGATTCGGCACAGACAACAGTAGGTCTCAGGAAAACGACCGTGGAAAACTTATCCGAAGAGATTTTTAGAAACTAAAAACACTGTTGAATAGAAAAATATTTTCTCTACATACTTTGTAGCAAAAAATTTTTTCTGTCATTAAAAATAAAAAAGTTATGAGCAGAATAAGACAAAAGTTCAAAATCGTGTGCCAATTCACCCCTTCTTACTCTATCTCGAGTATTCCATGTAAACTCATTCATTATTGAGTTTACACTTACAAATATTTAAATTGACTTGATCAAAACTAGACTCCAATCTAACATAGTTAAATCGTATTCTCGATTTTTGAAAATTCTAAAAATGAATAAACTTTAATTGATATTTATGATCAACTAGGATCTATTTTTATTTATTAAAGATAAACAACTGTTAAAACAAAAAAAGAACAAAATGAAGAAGTCGAAAATTCTATTTTCGGTCTACTTCGTTTACCTTTCGATAACTGAAGAATATAGAATGAAATCTATAGATGAGATTTTCTTTTTGTCAAAGCGTGTTTGATCAGAAATCAATCTTTCCTGTAGAAATTAAAGAGGTCAATTGTAAGATGATAAAACACATTGACAAACACGCAGCCAAACGAATCGTACAGGAGAACAAACAGTCATTTGGATTTTTCATGTTTGCGAAGTTTTGTGATATTTGATAAATGTGACAGAAGGAACATATGACCACTAATTATTATTTGTATTAGTAATCTTAAATAAGAGAAAAATAATATTGCTAACTCACTATTGAATTTGTTCTTGAGGATTTTAATCTAAACATTCATTGATAAATTCCTTTTTTCGCTCTTTAGGTAATGAGCTAATTTCGTTTCATCAATTTGAATCATTTCATAAATTTTTTCTTTAGCAGAAGAAAAGGAAAAACTTTAATATTTTTCCGATCATGTTTAAGAACATTTTTAACTTGAATAAAAGAATGGATTGATATTAGGAATCGTTGATTTTCATTCATTGTAATACTTATTTATAGCATTGAAGAGATTTTGAATAATCTTGACGATAAAGTCTTTCATCAATTGTTAAGTAATATCTTTATAACTGCGGCACTTTTTCAATCTAATAATTCTAGTTGAGTTTTCATTTTATAAAAATTTGTTGAAGAAATAGGTGGAATATTTTTCTTCCTTCCCAATCAATATCTCCATAACAGTGTCGAGCATTGGAATAAATTAAAGAGGATTCGCCAATATTCATTGATTGAATACAAATATTTATAGCTGATATAATTTCACACACAGTTAGAAAAAATCTTTCATTTGAAATATTTTCAATTACATTAATATTTGAGTTTAAATTATTCATTAACCATAATTTATATAAAACGGTTGCCAGTGTAGTTCGTGTTGGGCGACTATTTAATTTCATTGTCATTTTATATTAAAATAAGCAAAGAATTTTACTTCTTTTAATCAAGTTTTATTTTCGACAATATCTTCAACTTCCGATGAAATTAAGTTATTACTTGATAAAGCTTATTCTTCGAATTATTGTTTATTTATATTCTGATGCGATTTTTTTTCTACTAATGACCATTTTGCCGTTAGAAATAAGGAATTTTCATTTTTAATATGAATATCTTCAATAGGCAGACAAATGTTCTAATTTTGTTGTTTCATTATGTATTAATTTAGCTGAAGATCACTTTCCATTTCATTTGAATTTAATAGCAATGCAGTTAAACATTTATTCATTTCTTCTCATGGAATAATTATATTTTCATCAGTTTTTTCAACGTTAATTTAACGTGATTCTGACTGAATTGAATTATTTTTTTTAGTTTTTCTAATGAACAAATAAGACTTTCATCTTGTCTATACTAAAAACATTTTTTACTGCAGTAGAAGTTATACTCTTTCTTATAAAACATATTCATTCAGAAACATGAAAAGATTTTCACAATAGCATGTAATACATATACTAACATTGAGATAAATTTAGCTTATGAATCTCAACATTAAATATGAGAAAAATAAGCTTTGGGATTGAATTCTTTGATAGAATCAATAAGGATTAATTCAGGGAACTGCAATTAGTAGCAAATGATAAACATTCTAACAGTTATTTTCATATATAGAATAATTTTATGTTTTAACAGAGAATAAAATAAATTGTTTGATAATAAAAACAGAACTGTCTTAAACACACCGTTAGTTAAAAATATTGAAAAAAGTCAAGTATTTTTCATAGTTCTGAAACGAAAAATTTCTTTCTACGATTCAATAGAAATAAACATGAAAATTTCGATTTTGTCAACTTTTCTCTCTTTTAACTATATTTGTATGAAACAAGAATCTTTGAAATGATTAATTTTGAAATTCAAAAACATCTTGAAATTGTTTTTGGAAACATGAACTTTCTTATATATCTATCTAATATACTTTTTCATTTGAAAACTTCTTCATTCCATGTATCGCTTTGACATTAAAAAAAAAATTTCGATTCAATAACTTTCACTCAATCTTCTGTTGATTTGAATTGAGAATAATTGTAAGAATGTTTTCTTTTTTGCAGGTCAAACTATATGAGGAATTAATGTGATTAACTGAAAAGATCATTTAAAAAATTCTTTTTTAAATAAAGTGGTTCTTAAAGTGAAATAAAGCTAAAACTGTGAATGACAATAAGTAATCAGTTTGAATATGGATTGATAAGATATTTCAATCAATAAATCGTTTTCGAATAATTTTGTCGAAAAGCTAAGGAAGTTTATTGTATGCTAGGCATTATGATAAGATAGAATAAAAAAATGAAGCAATGTTTTCTTCATTACTTTCTAAAAACGAATATTTTCTCTTTCTTTTCTCTATTGTTTAGCAATACTTTTCTTTTAAAAACAACTAGATTCATTCTAATCTAGCGAAATACAATTGAGTGTCTGTTTCTCATATATGAAATCATTTTTCTTTTTTTTTATATATCAAACAAAATATAAAATTTTCTATTATCATTAATGCAAAAAAAATCTAAGGTTGGGTAGGCAAAAAATCAGCATTAAACATACTTGTTCATCATTATTACATATTTATTCTACAATAGAACAAGCAAGATTCTTACTTAAAATTCTTATATACTAATAGTGAAATAAAGTTAGCTTATCAATCTACACGTTAGCTATCAAAAAAAACAGATGATTTCAATCTATAACTGTGAACTCTTAGAA